GCGGCAAACACAAAACGGGAGGGATGATGGCGAGGGACCATCTGAGGATGAACTTGGCAAGGGGACTGTAGGAGATTCTGTAGAAAATCCGCCTGACCGGCCTCCATCGAATCTGTGTGGCCTCGCTGCTACTAACATTTGTCTACAAGCCTATCGTCGGGAACCATATACTCACTCTGATTTCTTGGCCATTGCTTCCGATCTTGATGCTCAGGAACGTGAGTTATATGGCAATAACTCGGCTCTGCATCCCCCACAGGATAGTAATTACACTCGACATGGGGGATTCAATGTCTCTGTTTTGGAGACTGCTTTGATAAGGCGTCGGCTTGATATGCAGCGTGCCCCTTCGGGTGGCGACCCGGACCACTGTTCGCACGTTTGTGCCTATATTCTACATACTCCTGGCCACTACACCGCTCTTGTCCGTGCCTCTGGTTCTTGGGAATTATGGGATGGCGGTGCTATGGTGCAAACTATTGCTGCCATCTGTGATCTCGTGCGTAATTACCCTAACCTGCAACTGCTCCAGGTCATTGACCCTATGGGTACCTCGTGTATTTCCATGCCTGCCTCTACGCCTATCTCTGTGCCTGCCTCCGTACCTCTCTGTGCCTGTTTTTATGTCTGTCTCCTTCCAGATTACTGACCCTATAGGTACCTTGTGTACTTTCGTCCTCGCCTCTGCACCTGTCTCTGTGCCTGCCTCCGCACCTGTCTCCATGCCCGTTTCTGTGTCTGTCTCATGCCCGTTTCTGTGTCTGTCTCCATGCCCGTTTCTGTGTCTGTCTCCATGCCCGTTTCTGTATCTGTCTCCGTGCCTACCTCCATGTCTGTCACCGTGCCTGCTTTAGTCTTCATTCCCCCACATGCTGCACTAACACCTTGTGACCTCCTTCTTTGTGAGATCACTGAMACAGTTACACTTGGTTGTGGAAAGCATCGACTTTGTCGACATCACTACAACCATATAATTTTGCGGGCCCGCTGTCGGCAGGGATGCCACCTGTATCCGGATTGTGAACATCCTCTGCATCTAAATGCAGTATGTCCCATCTGTGCCTACGTGCGCTATAGCGAATGCGCACTTAACTGTGATGGTGAACGCCCCACAATGGTCATGGCCTGCAACCGGCATGCCCTCTGCCGTGCATGCTTCAGAGGTATGGTCGATGCTAGCCGTCCTGGTTCCTGCTGTGACGAAGTTGCTTACCTGAATGGTTTTCGTCCTATAGATCAGCGGGAGGGATGCTACCATCGCCCGCATCCTTATGATAGTTGTCCGATCTGTCGTGAGGGTCTTACTTAGACGTACCTTGCACCCTGACCAAAATGTGCAGGTGCGCTGAAAAGAGTGTACAAGAATGTGCAAAGGTGGGAAACCCTTCACTGAAACTGCAAAACAGTGAAGACTGCAGTAAAAGAAGAACATAAGTTTGTGTCGTTTCACTTTGTTTGTACCCTGCACCCTAGCACCCTCAAAGAAAAAGTCCGAAGGGTGAAAATGAGAATAAAAAGTGAAGAAGGAAGTGCAGGTGCGCTGAAAAATGAACGTGGTAGACTCTTCACCAAAACTGCAAAACTGTGAAAGAAAGAAGAATGTAGTAAAAGAAAGAAGATGTTTGTGTCACCCTTATTTTATTTTWWTTTTTTCTCCCTCTGMCTATYGATTTTCCTTTTCTGCTCTTCTCTCCCTTGTGTTTGACACCTCTTCCTTCACTCTGCCTCTTTCCCATAGCGTGCAAGTGGGCTGTTATGGCATACAGGGATGGGGGCAGCTCGCGCTCAACTTCATCAACGTGGCGAGCCTTGTACGTTAGAGGCACAGTGGAGGAGGCGTTAAGAAGAACGAGAAACTGAATGATTTCAATGCGTCTTTGTTTCTGATTTTTATCCTTTGATTCAGTGTAAATATTTTTTGTAAAACACTGAAAGAAATAATAATACTGTGAAACAAAGTGTCATTCTGGTTTGTCTGTCTCTTTGCCTGTCTGTCCTTTCATTTTTCTTTTCTTTGCTCATCTTATTTCTTCTTCTACTTCACGTGCTCATGCTCTTAGTCAATAGTTCTGTGACAATATACATATATATATGTTTGTGACGATAGCCTCCTGATGAGTCGGTGAAACTCCGACGAAACAGTTTGTCACAGCCCCTCGTTTGTTGTCCTCTTCTCTCTCTCTGCCTATGGT